GTGTGGAATTCCCGGCCTCTATCACGTACAAAGCTGTCCTAAGAAGCCGAGACAGCCTAGATAGAGCCTCCTCTGACTTAGCTACAACTGCATTACATATATGTATATTAATATAACTTTATAATTTCCTTACTTTGGGCAGTTGGTTTTTAAAAATTATTTGTAAACCTTATAGCAGAGAAATTAATATCTAAATGTGCTATTGTAGGCACCAGTATAAGCCAGCTCAGGAAGCTTTGACTGGGAAGCTTAAACCTTCAAAATTATGCTATACAGATAGTGGTTTATTCGAAAGGCCTTCCTGGGCAGAGACTGTGGAGTGAGATGCTGGGACTATCTCCCACAGAACTGAATAATTAGCCTTGATCACAGGCTCCTAATAACATATGTGGGCTGAGAAGGCAGGCTCTCAATCAAGCATGACAGGATGCTGGTAAACCATGAGTTTATGCTTCTAATCGCTGTAAGGGAGGAAGACAAGCTGATTGAGCTAAGCATTTAGAGTCCATTATAGTATTCTAGGGCAGCATGGCATCTGTCTTCCAGTGCCCACTCTGGGCAGTGTGTGGAGAGAGGCCACAGTGCTGAATGAGAATGACTGACTGGTAGGAAACCAGTACCTCACAGACCCCTTCTCTCCCAAGCTTCGTCACATCTCAGTGGGCTCTCCAGGCCCTCCCAATTTCTTACCCAGCAGTGAAAATCATCTTTCTCGAGCGCTTTTTAAGAAGACTATTTTTTAAGAGTGGTTTTAGGTTCACAGAAAAAGTAAGAGGAAGGTACAAAGATTTTCCACCTACCTTCTGTTCCCCAACCTGCACAGCCTCCCCCATTATCAACACCCCCACCAGAGTGATGCCTCTGTAATAACTGATGAACCTCCATTGACATGTTATAATGACCCAAAGTCCACAGTTTCCATCAGGATTCACTGAGTCACTCTCGGTGTTGTACATCTTATGGATGTGGACAAATGTATATTGACACGTATTCACCATTATAGTATCACACGGGGTGTTTTCACTGCTCTAAAAATCCTCTGTCCTCTGCTTACTCATCCTTCTTTTGCTTTCCCTTTCCCCAATAATTTTGTCGTTTCCATGATATAGATGGCTTTGAAAAATACTGCAAGCAACTTTCCACACGAGGCAAGAGAAAGATAAGATTGTGTATGCACAATGGATTGTCTATTTCACCGACAATCTTAGAAGAGTGTATTTTTGTTAGTGAAGTAGTGCTCTGGAAGCCAGTTTCAAGCTACCGATGTGATGTCGTTGAGTGCAGAGTTGTAAGGAGAGGCGCTGTGGTACACTATTGTATAGTATGCTCACCACACAGATACGATAGACATAAATAACCTCGAGAGCATAGATAATATAAAATATAGTACCGTAATTAAGAAGTGTTATGTTTTGAGTACTTGCTACCCTTTAAAAGATAATCTATTTGAATCTAAGTTTATATAATGTAATTTTTCATATTGGCTGTGTTTAATAATCGAGTCACAAAATTTCTGAAAACCTAACAATTGGCTCTCATGAGCTAAAATGAGCCAGCTCCAGCCCTGCACTGCTTCTTACTCACTTTCATCAACTTAGACATGTGATGATGTTTCAGAGGAGACAACTGCATTCCTCATTTTTATCAATCAGATTAGAGATGGTAGTAAACCTTGCTTTATGGATCTCTCCTACCTTGCCCTGTACATCTCTCCCATTTGGCTCTTCCTGAATTGTATCCTTTATGATAAACTGGTGATAAGCTGTTTCCTGATGGTGATGGGAACAGGCCTCATGTCTTGGCAATGGCTCAGGGAGTTTTGCCTGTGCCTTAATTCCAGTGGGATGTCTACACCATGAGTGATGACTTGGGTCCAAGTCCTGCTGATAAGAATTCTGCACTTAAATACAACATTTTAACACTGACATTAGCCCGAACAGTTTTCCTTTGATTTAGAAGGAAGGCATTTCAGATCCTTGCAGGATTTCCTCCAGGCGCACCTTGAATGAATTTCATTCACAATTGTTCTAATTATGCATATAAACTATGAGTTGATGAATATAAATTGTGAATAGCAATAATTGTTGTTTGGATTATTCTTATTTTGATGATTTTGGTTTAAAGAATTGTTAGTTCAGAGAAGTTTGATATTAAACAGATTATTTTCTTCCAAATAACTTCCTATACAAACTCTGGCCAGGCCAGCCTGGTTTCCTCATTCATGAGACACTGAGTGCCTCCCATGTGCTGGTCCTTTGTGTTGGTTACTAGAATAAAACTAGTCCTTATGAGATGCTTTCGTGTTTTTAGAGAACCTTTACATTTGTCACAGAGGTGCAGCAGGGTGGTTCAAAGATGGACTCAAGTCAGATAAACCTGGATTTGAATCACCACTTACATGACCTTGGATAAGTTGGTTAATTGCTGTTTCTCAGTTTCCATGAAAATAGGACCTATTAATGGGGTTGTTAGTATGAATGTTAAATGAGATGATGCACGAAAAGCATAAGCACAGAGCTTGGTAAACAGCAGGCTCTTAATTCAAACAAGCAAACAACAAAAAACCTTGATGTAGGCGGCAGGTAATACTATTTTCCCACTGGGATGAGCCAACTAAGAAGTGAGTGACTTGCCTATGGTCACACAATCAGCAAAAGACAAATGCAGGACTGAAACCCAGACCAATTCCTTTGCAGGGTGTAGAAGGCTGACTTTATTTAGTACAGACACACACACAGACACAGACACACACACACACACACACTAATAACAAATGGGAAATGCTTTATATGCTGTTTAGTAATCTTCTTGTCCTCCATCCCAGTGTGCCAAAATTTAAAAAATTTCCCAGGCTTATGACTGACTGGTTCTGTCAAGCTTGAAAGAGATAAATTATTATTCTTGCCATAGCTTCTTCATTTGCAAGATGATGCTAATGAAACACAAGGATTAATTACACCTTTGCAATGTGCTTTGGCTTTCTTGAAGAAAGATGCCACTTATGTGGTATGCATCCCACTAGGATGGTGTTGCTATATGACTGTTGTGACAGAATGATATTTGAGTCATCGGCTCCCTGTCTTTCAGCATCACTCAGCAGCACAGTGCCAAGCTCAGTGCTAGGTAATACTGTGCCCTTAAGTGTTGGTCTTCTCCAATTTTTTAAAGTCTTTTTCTTTTTTTTTTAGAGAAACAATAGGAAACATATTTCAATTATAGCAGGAAAGACATAGTTAAGGTCATCTTTTCTACTTAATCTTTCTAAAGTTTTTGACATTAAACCTGTTCCTTTCTGAACAAATTTCCTTTCTACATATATTTAAAATTAATTTTTAAACTCATAGTACATATGGTTGGGACAAACTTTAAAAAGACATGCAATAAAATGTCTCCAGCCCACTCTTGTCTCCCAGCCTGAGTTTCCATTCCCAGAGTAACCACTGCTTCAAGCAAATACTGTGTGTATATTTGTGTGTGTGCCTTCTGTGCAATACAATGGTGTAATAGCATAGTATGCACAGTGTACTATAACTATTCTACTCTTAATTTTTTTTATGCCTACAGCACCTGGTCTTCCTAGGTGGTCTCCCATCCAAGTACTAACCAGGCCCGACCCTGCTTAGCTTCCAAGATCAGTAATTATTCTACTCCTAATGCTCGATATTATGAGATCATTCCATTTTGGGGTACATAAAGTTATTTTTCTTCAATTATATGGATAAACCATAGCTTATAACTAGTTTCTTATTGATAGATATTCAGCTGTTTCCAATCTTTTATTTCGAAAAATGCAGCAATGACTATCTTTGCACATTTTTTAAAAAGTTGGAGTCTATCTAAAGTTTCAATTCCTAGAAATACATTTAAATATTGCCAAGTTGCTTACTGAAAAGGCTGTACTAATGTATATTCTCATCAATAATTAATGAGAGCATCTCTCCCCCTCGCCCCCCCCACCTCATTTTTCCCCTAGAATTTAGCCTGGTATCCTTGCTTGATGTTAGTCTTTTTACAGTCATGCTTTGCTTTGAGCCGGTTATAGCAAATTTAAATTTTAACCAAACTCCATCGTTCCTCATAACCCAGTAATGACCCTTTTCTCTTTGGTGAGATGGTGCAGGTTTCTCTGGTGTGCAGTCTCCCTTTCTGCAGCAAGTTAATATAGCCTATCTGTGGATTACAGGTGTGTTTTAATGGTCATTATTGGATGGCTTAATCAACCTTAAACTGTAGGGCCTACATTTGAAAACAACAGGAAAAGTTCTACTCCGTGTCTTTTTACAGATTCTTTTAAAAACAATATTGATTCTCATCTACCTGTAATTTAAGTCCTACCTGATGAACTGGATTAATAGTCAAGATCATTTCTGCTTTCAGTTCCTTCAACATTCCAAGTTAGATGGAGTGGCTGTTTTCTCTGCATGGGAAAACTCCCCAGATCTTTGCCTGGGGGTGCCCAGCTCTAACGTTGACAACTCCGAGTTCTCCCTGACCATTCTCATCTAAAAGAGCCATTTCTCCGCACAGTCCCCCACTTCCACCCTGTCACTCTATCTCATCATCTTATTTTCCATAATTTTCTTATAACTCTGAAGTTATCTTATTTAGTTGTTTACTACCTGTCAACCCCATTAGAATGTGAGCTCCAGCATAGCTCTGATAGCCGCAGCACCGCCAAGGTCTAGAACCCTACCTGGCATCTAGTAAGCCCTCAATAAATATTTGTCGAATGAATGAACGAATAACGAAATAAGTGCTTTATTGTCCTCCTTTCCCTTTAAACACCCTCCAAGTGGACCTACCGAAATTATCTTTCCGGAGTGAAACAGGTGGAGAGCGTTCAGTCTCGCCATTGGCTGGATTATTAGCCGTTGCTCCTGGCAACCACTGTTCTCCACCAGTCGTGTCGCCATCCCGCCTGGCCCCGCCCCTCAGCGCCCCGCCCCCGGGCCGCGGAGCTTCCGCCCAGTGGTAAAGACGGTACTCGCCCTTTAAGCGGCGGGACTTCTGGTCAACGTCGTTCGCGGCCGCCGGAAGGGGAAGTTTCGACTCGAAACGCTCTCTCGCTGGTCCGAATTCGGTGGCGCCACGTCCGCCGATCTCCGCCTTCTGCACCACGACTTGGGCGGCTTCCGCCTCGACGACACCTTCCACTCGCGGAGCCGTCCGAGTCGTGAGGGGCCCGGGACGGGGAGTCGGGCGGCGGCGCACATCCTGGGCACCTAAGAGGCGAAGATGTCGGACATCGGGGACTGGTTCAGGAGCATCCCGGCCATCACGCGCTACTGGTTCGCCGCCACCGTCGCGGTGCCCTTGGTCGGCAAACTCGGTCTTATCAGCCCGGCCTACTTCTTCCTCTGGCCCGAAGCCTTCCTCTATCGCTTCCAGGTACTGACCGGCGACTGGGGGAGTGGAGACTACAGGTCCCAGGCTGGTCCCCGGCGGCGGAGCGAAGACCCGCGGGTTGCCGATGCGCGGTGCCTCGTGGGATTTGTAGTGCGAGGGCTCCAGCGATTTAGGGCCGGATCCTGTGCTCGAGGGGCGGGGTGGCGGCAAAGGGATCTGGAGCTAGGGTCTGGAGAGCTGGAGGCATGGAGACGTGGGTTCGACCCGCTGGGAAGGGACTGATTTCGTCCCTTTGCTAAGATTATGCTCCCGTCCTCTGTACTCAGAGAAGGAGGCAGTGGGGAGGGAAGTCGGTGATAGTCGACAGCGGTGACCAACAGCCTGGCTTTACTTGGAGCAGCTAGCTGTCCTCCGACTTTTCTGTGCCACGTGGGTGACGTGTGGCTGTCAACTTACTCAACAGCCAGCTGAGTTCCTTTTACATTAATGGAGTCCCCCCCGCCCTCCGCAGCACCCCCATAGGAGTGATTTGAGGTCAGAGAGCAAAGAGTCAGTTTATTTATCTGCACTTACCCAGGCCCTGACTTATTATGTGGCATATAGTGGCTGAATGCAAGAAGCAATGTGTAAAGAGTTAATTGCTCCAGAAATGGAAAGCCTTGTTATTTTTTGAAGCACAAAGGAAACAGACCAGAGTAACATTTCTGGCAAGAGAATATTAGTTTCCTGGAGGTTGTGTTTAGTCACTGGATTCTGTGATTTGTCTTTAATCAGTGGCAGGGCAGACATTAAGAACTGACATTACGTCAACACATTACTTGGCCTGTGGATAATACTCTCGCTGCGCCCTCTTCACTGGCTATTTCTTAGTGTCCTTTGCTGGTTCCTCATCTTCCTGACCTTTAGATGTTGCAGCGTGCCCCAGGGGTCAGTTGTAGGACCTCTTCACTCTCCTTAGATGTAGGCGATCTCATCTAGCTTCATGGCTTTAAATACTTTCTATAAACTGAAGATGCTCAAGTGCAAATATATGCATGTTTAGTCCAGACATATCTCTTTATTTCCAGACTTCTACGTTTAGCCATCTATTTGAAATTACCACTTGGGAGACTCATAGGCACCTGAAACTTAACATGTCCCTAACTAAATATGCTTTTCCCCTTTGCCCTAGAAGTAAATAGAAACTCTGTTATAATAGGAGCTCAAGGTAACAGTCATGGAGTCATCCTTCTCTTTCTCTAATATCCCATAATCTGTCAGCAGATTCTATTAACTTTAGACACATATCCAGAATATAGTCCCTTTTCATTCTCCATTGCAAGCAATTATCATTCCAGCCTGTTCCTTTCAATCTTTTCTCTAGACAGCTGGAGTGATCCTTTAAAAACATAAATCAAGTTCTGTCAGTCCTCTGCCCAGAACCTTCCAATGCCTTCTCAACTCGATGAGTAAAATTCAAGTCCTCTCAGTGGCTTACAAGGCCCCCTGCTTCATCTCTGACCTCATCTCCTGCTTCTCTCTGTCTTGCACGTTAGGCTCCACAATGGAATGCTTGCTGTCCCTTCAGCTAACTCCATCTCTCCTCGGGGCTGTTTGCACCTGTTTCTCTGCTTGAGGGAGATAACCGTGGCTTATTACCTCCCTCAAGTCTGCCTAAATACCATCTTATTGGCAAGGTCTTATCTGATTGCCCTGCATAAGATAGTACCACTCCTTTACTCTGTCTCCCTTACCCTTAATATTTTTTGTTATACATCACTCCTTGATATTTGTTAGTCCACTTCCCTTCAGAAAATAAAGCTCCATGACAGCCAAATCTTTTCTTATTTACCACTGTCTTTGTTACCTAGAATAGTGCCTGGCACATAGCAGGTGAGTGCATGGGACTTGCTAATGCTGGGCACTGGAGGTACAACAGTGCATAAGATGGAAAAAGTCCCAATTTCTGTGAAGAAAATGAGAGAGAGGCATGTGATAGAAAGTGACTTAAGGGGGTGTCATTCGGTAGAGTGCTCCAGAAAAGCCTCAAAGAAGATCTCCTGAACTGAAATCTGAATGATGAAGAGCCATCTTTGGGTAGATCTGGCTCTGGGCACAATCTTCCAGGAAGAAGGAATAGTAAGTTTAGAGGCAGGCACTTGAAAGACAAGGAAGAAGCCAGGACAGAGCCAGCTGTAGGGATGAGGGTTGGAGATGAAGACAGAGAGATAGCCAGGAGTGAGTGCAATAAAGCAAGGACGGAAAGGTAGACTGGGACTAGATCGGATAGGGCTTCGTGGTTTGAGCTTTATTTTTAAGACACTGGGAAGGCTTTGGAGCCTTTGAATGAAAGACAAGATTGCCTTGACTGCTCTGTGCGATGGACTTGGTATGTGAGTTTGGGTATGAGGAACGAAGTTAAGCAGTGAGAGATGGTGTTTTGGACACGGATGGCTGTGAAAATAGAAGTGGGTAGGTTTGAGAGCTGGAGTGGGCAAGATTGCGGCTGAATGGCTATGAAGGGTGAATGGGTGAAGGAGGCAGCACTTAAAGATGTCACGGTTTTCACAGTAGGTGGTGGAGCCCTGTACTGACATTGGAAATATTTAGGGAGGTGAGGTTTGGGGGCTGGGGAGAATATGGGTAAAGAATTATGTTTTGGCCATGTTAAGTCCAGAGATGCTTTTTAGGCATCCAAGTGGAGAAGTTAGGTAGGTGGATATTAGAATATGATTTGGGCCTGTTGCCAGAATTGCATACTGTTTTCTACTTATTTGCTTTGGTTAATATTTATTGACTGAGTAAATGTCTGCACTTTGTGCCTGGCGGCATGTTGGGTGATGTGCATGCGTAAGGTGCTGTGGTTATAAATTGATTTGTGAGAAAGCTGGTCAAAACTGACTCTTTGATCATCTTGGCAATATTATGTTCACTTGTCTAGTCAGATTAGTAAAATAAGAAAGCCTTTCTAATAGACCAGAGATGTATACTGTTAAAAGAGGTGAACTGATTAGAAAGAGTCATCATTCATGTCACAACTTCTTCCATGATTTTCCCATCTTCCTTGCATTGCTTCTTGGGGGCTTGTTATCCTGAAACTGGGAGAAGCTGCTGGCAGGAGGCAGGAGGGTGCACTGCCCAGGTGCGAAAGGACCAATATTTATACCTTCTTTCTGCCACTGTGACTCCTACTCATTCTGGACAAATTTAGCTTTCAGATCCACCTAGAGGAACTTATTTGCAAACGAAGCAGTTGAAGGAAAAACTTGATCTGAGAAGCTGATGTGTGAGGACAAACAGCCTGTGTGGTGCGCTTTCTGCTAAAGGCTCATCTTTTCCTTAGAAGCTGGATCTTTAACAGCTTGAAAAAAAAAAAAAGTGGAGATGATTAATTTAGAATTGTGGATTCTAAAACATTACTTTTCCTCTTTATCTATAAGTTTTCTCTGAGTAGTTTATTGGTTTCGAACTCCCAAGTTTAAAATATCATTTCCTTAGTTTGGATGGGTGGAACCGCATAGGTGTGTGTTAAGACTCACACGACTGTTAGCCACAGTTTTTGGTCCCTCGCACTTACCACTCATCAGTCAATAGTGCACCATGATGAAACGTCTTCATACTGGTTCCTGATTAACTAGAAGACAGGTGACAATCTGCTGCTGCTCTAGTGGTTTCTGAGATTATGTGTCCCAGGCCTTCCTCCACAGCAGTACTTAATTTCTTTGGACAAAATAACACCATCTCCTTACATCTGGATTGTGCCTCTCCATATGTTATCTCATTCAGCTCCCACAGTCACCCCGAGATAAATGTTACCCCAGTTTATAGACGACCGCTGTTTCAGTTTCTATTTCGGTGAGTTGCATTTCTGAGCTCTCGTTTAACTCTTTGCATAATATCTACTAAAACACAATACTTAAGTGTCTAACAACACATTTTTGAGGGTGACTTCTTCCCTGTTAGTCATAGCAAATTTTTTTTTCTTTTTCTGTCAGAGCAGGAAGACCATGGGATTTCAAGGGGAGTTGTGGTCTGCAGGCCTAGCTCAGCCTCTTACTAGTTGTATGCTCTTAGATAAGTTACTTATCCTCTCTGAGCCTCAATTTCTTAATTACTGAATACGTGTATATAACCAGCACATCAAGAAACAGAACATTACCTAAAACAGTCCCTAAAAATGAGGATAATTTAATACTGTATAGATTTTGTTCTAAGAGTTCACTCTGTTCTAAGTCCATTGAGTATAAGATGCTCCATTGATTTAATACAACTTTTTGGAGGGGGAGGAAGTAGAAAGCACATGTGAATTATAAAATGAATATATCGATAGTAAGACACACCCTAATTTCAGAAACACAAAAATGAGTATCTTCAGATTGAGGAAATATGTTATCTGCTTCATGCCTCTATTATATAAAATACATAGAAAAATGTAAAGTGCCCAGGATATAGTTTGGTAAATAACCTATGAAAAATATTACCATTTATTTATTAGCTAATAATAATTTCTGTCATTACTGTCTTCTTTCTGTGGTGAGGAAGATTCCAATTTTAATTTGTAATTGAAATTGAAATATAACTGCTGGATTATTATCCTATTTTTTTTTTTTTGTCCCTTTAAAAGCATCCTGACTTGAGATGGGAAGATAAGAACTCTCAATTTCTCTAATTTGTTTCAAGAATAATAAGAAATGTCACCAACCAAACCTGGGATTGGGCCTGGTGCTTATATTTGCCGAGCTTTTGCTTGTGTTACCACGTTTAACCCGTGAGAGCAACCCCAGCAGATCGATTTAAGTGTACTGGGGAAGAGAGACATGTACACACATAACCAGGGTGGGATGGATGGAGTCTGCAAGCTGAGCAGAGAAGTAGCCTCAAAGTTTGGCTTAGAACTTTAGTGGCAAGTGTTTGGTTAAGTAGTACGCTTAAAATTTGTCCTTAGCAGTCCTGTCTACATTAGATAGCTCTGCTGTGGTCTGTAGATAAGGTTGCCCATTGGACCATAAACCAAGTTTATTTTCTAACTTTTTATTGAGTTACAGTATACAAGCAGGAAAGTG